GTTGCAGTACATAGCTGCAGTAATTTATTGGTTTTATTCATTAATGCCATCTTTCTCTAGTTCGTTTTACCCTCCCCCCTCCCCTTCTCGTTTAGTGTTCTTAAGTTCTATATAATTTGTTTTTTTCTGTTACAATTTAGTAGACTCGTATCCACTTTCGTACAATTAGATTAATCATGGAAAAGTTCTTAAGTGAGAAACATTCAGGTTTAATTCAAGGAAGTGAAGGGTAGGTTCAGTTTCTTTTGACGGGGCGTTTACTGGTAGCAAGGAACTTCTGAAGGACATCGTCTCAAAAGAACTGTTGATGAGCACTGGTTTATACACTAGCTGTTGTTTCATTTTGTTTATCCATGACTATAATTAAGGGTTACGATGTGATTCAAGTGCTGCTGGTGGTGTTTTAGAAATTATTATACAAGCGGAAGTTTAGTGAAGGCAGCTGTAGAGAAGAGCTGACAGTGAAGTCGACTACAAACAAGAAGCGTCGGTCATCGGAAACTACATTCGTTGCGACAGAGGACGTTAATCGGTGGCGAGTGCAGTGACTATAGCCTCAGCGGTTTGGGTTGTGGACACAGAAATGGACAAGGTTGCTGGAGTTCAAAGAAACACACGAGAGCTACAGGTGCGTAGAAGAGTTAGTTACTTGTGTTATCCAGTCTGCGGCATATGATCTCACTAGGCTTTTAATTTTTCTACGTTGGTGCCACTTGTTACCTTTTGAAATGGTTTCATTATTCCACCATTCTAAAGATAGTGTTTTTAGCACCCCTATTTACAAATACGACCTACACTAACAGGAATTAAGGTAAATTGGCGTATATAACAGATATGCACCTCTGCGAATATACTATCTTAAGATACTAAAAAATGGATTATTTCTACTGAGGTTATAATTTAATTTTGAATGTGGCGGCGGCTGGAGGTAGAGATGTTGAATTTGGGGGGAATGTGTGGTGTGAATATCATGCAGAGAATTTGGAGTTTGGCGACTAGGAGGTGTAGTAGTTATCGAAAGTATTATTCAGAGACCTGAGGACAAGTCACCATCTTACCGGAAAATATCAGACACTCGGCTGAAACAAGTGTAGAAGCCTTAAAGAGGAAACTGGACAAGTATCTTCACCAGGTGCCAGATCAACCAGGCTGTGATGGATGTGTAGGGCAGCGGGCCTCCAACAGCAACAGCCTGGTTGACCAGGCAAGTACCAGACGAACCTGACCCATTGCCGGATTCCGATAGTGACTCCAAACTCTTCGAAGGTATATATCAAATAGGATGACTAGTCGTATAACTCTGGGAAGGAGGGGGAGGGGGTTAAATGTTTATAATGCTGGGGGGGGGGAGGGCCTTGGACATTCAATAGGCTTGTGTGAGCGTGTTAGGAGTGAAGGCACAGGTTTTAGGATTTGACGTACTGTTTGAGTACGAGCAAGGTAACGTGTATGAAAGGGTTCATGGGAAACAGGTTAGTCCTGGAGGTGGGGTAGTGCGTGCACTATGGAGGGGGGGGGGTTTAGGTCTGGTCATATCTGAACCGTGATGCTGGTGCCCTTCTTGCAAGACTGTAATTAAATGGGTGAGTGTTTTCTTTGTCGGGTAACCTTACCTCGGTGGGAGACGGTCGGATTGATAAAATAAGTTTGCGGACAAAACAGCTTTCTTACCTGAGACCTGCAAGATAACACACAATTATAATGGTGCTGGGAAGTGGCAGGTACCAAAATTCATATTCAGGAAGGATATAGGAAACCACTAGTTTGGTAATAGTTGTGGATGAGTGGAACAAACTCCCGAGTACAGTTATCGAGGCTAAAACGTTGTGTAGTTTTAAAAATAGGTTAGATAAATACATGTGGGCGTGAGTTGGACCTGACTAGCTTGTGCTGCTGGGTCTGGCGCCGTGCTCCTTCCATGAGTGGAGGTGACCAGGCTGGGTGGGTCATTGGGCTAATCGGGAAGGGGGGGAATGGACGTGCTCCGCATGGGTCAGTAGGCCTGTTGCAGTGTTCCTTCTTTCTTATGTTCTTAATACTTCACGGTGAAGGTGCAAAGAAATCTAACTGTATTCTTACACAACCAGAAATGTGGTTGTCTCCATTTTTTCCTTTGAGCCGAAGACGAGTGTTAGTGTTTTCAAGGTTACGATAAAACCTTGAGAACACAAACACTGTCGTTTTCGGCTCAAAGGAAAAAAATGTGACCACCTGTAAGGTCTCCATCTGACATACCTGAGTCAAGAAACACGATACAGAGAGTTCCTATCAGGATATTTTATGGTTCTTTAGGTTTATGTAGTGTCTCCATATTTTAGGTGTGGCTGCCATACAGCTGATGTTATATCAAGCTTTAGCGCTTAGTTATGATAAACATACGTTGGGAAAATGGTAAAAATGCTGTTAACAATTATTTAAAAAATTACAGTTACAGTTCTGTGTTGGGTGGGTACTTAAGGAGATATTGGAGTAAGGAATACACTCGTTGGATGGTTTGGAGTCGTGTATTGCGAGTGTCTTGAGAGGAAGAGCCCAGGCCTGTCTGTCGGGTCTGTGCCAGGGTGGAAGCGAGGGATGTCTGTGGCTAGCCGCTGACATGCGAGTGCCTCGTGACGTCACACTAGCAAGGGAGCCTATCTATAACGAAGCTGGGATTATCTACATATACTACACATGCAATACAAGTAATCAGTGACACACTACTGACATCTGTCGTATTTTACAGGTAATATGTGTTAAACAAGCTGAACTGCTCTATAATTTATCTTTTAGGCAGGTTTATCGTGAGCACAGATTTTTTTTTATGAATTAGCATAATATAAATGTTACTTATCACAAAAATTAGCCTAATATCCCCTCCTAACCTTGCTAAAATGATCTTAATTGATGTTGCCTTTTTCCCCACCCCAGTCTTTGGACGGACATATTTTGCTCTACGGGCAACTATTTTTTTTATTTATTTATTTATTTATTTATTTTAGTAATTTTAGCATACATACAGAGGTACAAAAAAATACAGGTAAGAGCAGCATGCCAAAGCCACTTGCATGCATAGCATTACGGGCTGGGTTAAAATTAACTTAAGATTAACTAAGCAATGATGAAATCAGTGATAAAACATTATTGTAAACAGATAACTATAAAGCACAAATGAGTATTACAAAGATAGGTCATATGGTTGCATGCATTGCTGTTCATTCAGTCGAATGGAGTATTCTGTTAGGTAGTGTATTTAAAAAAATAGCAAAGTTAGATTGGGTCCTAGGTTTAACATTTGTGTGATATAATTGTGAGTAACATTTAGGATATATAATTTATAAGGTTCAGTTATTCAATATTTATTTGGTTTTGGGTGAGTAAGTGATCTTTGAGAAGAGACTTGAATTTATAAATAGGTAGTGTTTCTTTTATATTTACAGGTAATGAATTCCAGATTTTAGGGCCTTTTATGTGCATTGAGTTTTTGCATAGCGTGAGATGGACACGAAGAACATCAAAGAGTAATCTGTGTCTTGTGTTATGGTCATGTGTTCTGTTGAGGTTGGCAAGGAGATGTTTGAGGGGAGGGTTAATATCAGAGTTGAGTGTTTATGTATGTAATAGGTGCAGTAATAAGTATGGATGTTTTGTATGGTGAGTAGGTTTAGTGTATTGAATATTGGTGGAGTGTGCTGCCTATAGTGAGAATTTATCATTCTAACTGCAGCCTTTTGTTGGGTAATTAGTGGTCTGCAGTTTCGAGGCTGGAGAAAAATATAGAATTAAAATGCAAAACTTTAAATGGGGAATACATTTCGAAAACGTATTAATATTGAAGTGTAAAAATATTGTCAGTAATAATGAAACTTCAAAAAATATTTTTCTTAAGTTCTTTACAAAACTTTTCAATGAACATTCGAACCTGCCTTTCATTTATGAAATTTAAAAAAATAAATATTTCTTAAACGTGAAAATAGACCAAACTCTTTTATAAAATGTAATCATCAGCCAAACACTTCTAAATATTAAATGAAAAGTCTATAGCCAGTAAAATGTTCACATGGGTGACGTCAAAAAAAAATTGCATTTTATTATAAATTAGAATTAATAATTTATCGGTCCTGTAAAACAAAATATATAACCTTGGCCTTAAGTCAGCGCTAATTTAATATATTATTTAAACACACACTCCTGATGCTCTGACACATTTTCGCCAAGTTACTGCAATAATTTACACATTGGTGAAACGATAGATTCTTCATACGCTCAGTTGTAAAACTCTGCCTACAATGTATGACCATAAAATTCTCTGGATTGGCTTTTAGGTAATCTTTTAGTACATGTTTACTGTTAGGTAAACAAGGGAAGGGAGTGTAAGGCGACTTACTCTTACCAAAGACTAAGGATTAAACTGTCCCTTTACGTTTCAGCACCATCATGTCATCCTCGTCTTCTATCCTCCAGCCCCAACCCTGGTCTCCTTTTCTTCTACGTTCCAACAACTCCCATCTACCCTCTCCTCTTGTCCCATATAGCACCATTCCTACGTCCTACTGCGCCTCTCACTGTGGATTGCTGTAGGTTAGGTTGCCTCGACTCTTTTTTTTTTTTTCCAGTAATGTTCAATTTACTTGGTTCACTAGAAATTTACCAAAAGCTCAGTTTCCTGGTTGAGATCTGTCTGGTAATTGAAACTGTTTTTCTCCCAAGACTTAAAATCGTGTTTGGAATACGGATTTTATTCGTTTGGTCCTCGTTCTTCAGCATCCCAGCAACAAATACTATACACATTTGTTTGAGACTTTCATGCCCAGGTGTGACTCAGGATACCTGAATAGTTACTTATGAAACCTAAAAGGAAATTACAAAAAAATAGTGGAAAATAATAAAGCTGTCGTTTGTTTGTGCAACATCCCGTAATCCACAACCAAAATTTGTAATCTTTCAATTTCTTGATAATACACAAAAGCGCACTAACACACAGGACAGGGTTTAGGGCTTAACATGAATGACACAATCCATTTGTATAGTTTTTTATTTGTATCTTAACATTATATAATGCCTTAAAATAAACCTCACAAACACAGGAAGGAAGGATTAATCCATTTCTCAAGTGCAATGATAGAACTGGGCCAAAATAATTGCTGCTGAGAGACGTAATGGAAGAAACATTTTGAAGATGCTTAATGTTTGCTTCCCAAATAAGCAACTACTGCCGATTTATTTTTACATTGTTCTAATATGTACATAGCTAGTATCAGCAAGTAGGCTTAAGAGAATTGTTGGCGCTTCCAGTTTTCTCTAGATCATTTTATATTGTTTCAATTCATTACATATTAAATTCGTCGGGATAAATCCCCTGAAGAGGGTCTCAACCTGACATAGGTCGTAATCCTGAGATAACCTGCTATTGTGGGTATGGCAGGAGGGGGAGATGGAAGGGCGGAGTAGCAGCGACAGCTGATATAATGCTGCTGGACGCCATGGTCACTTTTGATTTGGTTTTCTATTAAAGCTACGAGATGCACTTTTCAAGAAATTACGACAGTTGTAGAACATCATATATGTAGTTAAAAATAAAGCCATCTTAGAGGGCGCCTTTATCCACATAATTATCCTTAATATTTACTAAAAATTTCTTAACAAATATTTAAGAGACATGTTTGAGATAAGCAAAGCTTTCTCTGTGGAAAATTAACAATAGTGAAGCATTTGACCATGATAGCTTATGATGAGGCTCAGCATATTAAAACTGTCCAGATTTGTCAGCGTAAATCGTGAAGGTGTTAACCAGAGCCATGGACATTCAGTTCGTAGGGCGACATTAATTTCAGGTTAAGCACTTAGCTTGATGTCTTGATGCACATGACCATCCTGTGGACGGCCGTTAAAAGATTAGACACAATTGCTCCCACACTAAGTTTCGTTTCATCAGTTAATTTTGGTAAGTTGTATTTGTCAGGAAAAATCACCTGCAGAGGTACTTTGTGGGTTTTAATCCTGAAAAAACGTACTGAAGTTTTATGTACCACTGGGTGTGGCCACAAATTCGTTTTTGGCCAACAGGATCTTGATAGGCCACAGGAATTTATATAAGACAAAAATCCTTAAATCACACTCCCATCCCCTCAAGATAATTATATAGTACCGTAACAGGGATTATTTGAAAAAGTATATTGTTGTGCTGCGTTCGTTACTTTATCAACCGCACCCGCCTATAGATTTGTTTGTTTGTAATAATGTTAATACGATTCCGCGAGTCTTTATCAACTTTTGTCAAATTTCATGATACTGAAGCAACTTTACAAGTTTTAAATAACTGGCTGAAGTAGAATACCTCTGAAACTGGTGAGGGTTAAGTAATGATACTGTAGACAATATCTACACCCAGATATTTACACTTCAATAATTTAAATATTCATGCACAAAAAAGCCTTCCTTTGCACTATTTTTTTTGCTTTATTATATTAGCCAATCTCTGTTCCATATTCCCTTTTTCTATTTGACTTTCGTATTATACTGGTCGTACAATAAATCGAAGCTCAACACTTTCTATTAAAATCTGAATAATGTTCAGTGCTTAAGAAAGATGTTGTCTACAGTATCACGTATCCTACACAACTAGAAGGAAACCTACACTAGGTTACAATCACGGAAACTGTTTATAAGAGTGACAGTTGCTTTAGTAATTATAACTGTAGTAACAGAAAAATTTAATCAGGGCCGGGTCATTAAGTCGTTGATGGAGAGAAGAGGAAGACACTAGCCTACCTTAATTCTGTTTACTCTCATATATGTTACTTTCCCTTGTTCTGCAACAGCCCAAGTCTAAAGAATTGAATTCTAGTCTTTACTTGAGTAGCCTGAAACTTCCTAAATATCTGCTGTCCTGCCTGAACTAAATTATTTTCAGAGAATTTAGTTTTCCCCTTAAAAATATTTAAGAATTTTCAATTTTTTTCATGTGCCTATTCCATTATGTAATTAAGCTTCAGTCTTCCCCTTTCCCTGTGAAATTCTGATCTGTCAACATTATATCTCATTCCTTTCAAAACGTTATTTGTAAAAGTTTATAGTTATTTTCTATATCTAGTTATATTAAAAGCATAACGTATTCATATTTCATTTCAGCATCATTTCTTCAGTCTTGTAGGCTATTCCAAAACCGCGCCGATGTTGCTCCGGCCATTACCCTTTATATAAAGTAAATTAGGATAGTTTATATATATATATATATATATATAAATAAAAACTCCGATTTTTCTATGTAATATGTTAATCGAATGTCCAGATGTACTTCATACTTCATGTGACATTAGTTATCTCCCGCCATTTTTTAAAATGTTATTTAAATGAACCTTGAGCATTTGGCATGGTCAACATTTCAGCTTGCCAAGTCGCTAGCATACGACGCATATATACGAAGTTGCTAGTTTAAGATGACTTCAGTCGAGGACGTAAGCAGCCTGAGGCGTCATCGTCCTGCGACGTCGCTAGCTGATAGGTCTTCAACTTGTCAACTCAGTAAAGCATAATGTTTCCGCCTTTGGGGTCGGGCGCCTGGAGCTGCTCTTTGATCTTGGGTTCATAAGTTCCCATGAAAATGATGCCAATATTGACTACATGGACGAAGATGGCCACCACCACAAGCCTGCCAAGGAAGATGCACATTAATGGTGGTATGGAAATAAATATAAAAATGCGTGACTACAAGTACGAAAAAATCCACAAAGAAAAAATAGATTAGAAATGTTAATCACTTAAATGCATTTACACACAGAGACAAACTTTGTTCTTTTCTGTTAGTTTCTCAAAGGTTGTTTTTCGTAGTTTTATATATGAGAGATATTGGGCAGACTAAAGCATGATCAAGGCTTCCTGATTGACCAAGTGAATAAGAGATCAGTCTGAATGATCGTGAAGCCAAAAAATTATCAACAATGAAAAAATTTAAGCATAACTGTGTGAAATAAACACTTCGTTATAAAAGCCTAATTATCATACGTAGTGGACAACATCGTTAAAAATTTACAACTTTCTACACATTGTGCACTTAAATTTGAATCATTTGGCATAAACACTAAATTTCCTTTAACTGTCGATGTAGATAACTGTACGAACTGGACACATGACACTGCAGTAACAGAACCAGAGGAGACATCAAACATACAATGTTCCGGGGTATAGGCGCGCGCGAGCGTACACAGTTTAAATTATAAAAGCAGGAAGATGTGATATAGATGAAATTTGAAAATGCCTAAATTTATCAAAAGTTTTTGTAGCGTATTCTGAAAGGAAATCATTGTACTTTGGATATTAGTTTTGATTATAATATGTACTTTGGATAATACAAGTGAAGACTAAGCTCAAATCTAATGTAATTAATACCAATAAGATGAGAGGTTATGAACTGAACCCATTCTAATATAAAAAATACTCTATTCATTTATAAAGTATGTTCCTGTATCCATGTTTCTTAAACTAACACTGAATCATCAAATGCCAAATAAAACTTTTATATAGTTAAAAATCATAAATACAATGATAGAGATTTTAGAAAATGGCCAGAAACAGGAAAGCAACTTAGTCCAATACTGAGAGCACTTAAGTAGTAAGAGTACAGGGTACATGTAGCCATGTTATACAGGCATCAAATATCAAAATAGAGCTGAACATGGTCAAACATGCTAACAAAACACTAATCAATTTGCAGGCACGTTCTGTGCGCACCCCGGACTCCCCCCCCCCCCCACGCACACGCTCACGCGCACGAAAAGAACCTGGAGGTGGAAGGTACTGAAAGCAGGAAAGGGAAAACACTAGGTGGGAAGGACGGGGAAGAGAGAAGGAAGACGGCCAAGTCTCACCAGTAAGAGTAGCCAAAAACTTCATTGTTTTCAGTAGTCCAGCCGTCTACAGCGTCGTAGAGGAGGACATTGTGGGTGAGGTACTTGTGATACTGCACCGCCCACAGGATCACGCAGATCAGGTTGAACAGCGCTGGAAATTAACTCTGCTTATTAGTTTATTCTTGGAGAATAAGGCACAATACACTAACCCCCACATAGGGGAATGAAACTTATGACTATGTTAATGGTCCAGGTGGGAACGAGACCTCGTCAGCAGATTCATTCTATGTGCGGCCTGGTCACAGACCAAGCTGCGGGGGCGCTGACCCCCGAAATCCTCTCCAGGTATAGTTCGTTTTTTATTCACCACAATAATGGTTTCAGGGGAGGGTACATGTTCAAGACAGATGAGGCAACCACACTAAATGCTAATTATGATTTGCTTAAACTCTTGTATGAAAAGTTTGGCCAGTAGTTCAGTGCTCATTTCTGACGACTGAAAAGGTAACTATTAAATTCCCGGGCGTCGGTTGTCTGGGGAGGGTGTACGGGTAGGTCTCCAGACCTCCTGCATCTGTTGATTTTGTAGTACAGCTATTTGTGTTGGTAGACTGGCTTCCATCCAGTCCAAAAGAACTGTCTAAAAACTGTGAAACAGAAAAGTAAATATGCCTTTGGCAATGATTTTCATTATCATTTTAGTTAAACTCTTGGACAATAATTAGATAAATTGGTGCGACACAGAGTTCATCCCAGAATCATAAAATTCTAACGTGACGTTGCTATTACTTTTGCATAATTTTCTTTATTTCTGCTAATATTTTTTTCCTAAGAGTTAGTCCAATTCAAGAAAGACCGTAAACATATTGTATCTTTTTTCAGACCTCTTATTATTTTAGCGCTCCACATTATAACCGTAATATCCTTACAAAAGTGCGAGGTGGCAGGACAGACATGACATAGTTGATAGAGAATTCCTGGAAGTTTTATCTTAAATTATCTGGTGTTTATAAAGTTGCTTGTCAACAGCTGAAAACTCTCGTATATGGAAGAGTGTAAATACTGAGCAAATGAGTCATTTTTTAAAGCAGTCTCCTGCCTATTGTGCTGGTAATGATTTTTAATGTTTTCTCTTGGGTTTCAGTGGTTTGTGCCCAGGGAGTAAAAATTTGTCCTGGGAGGTGTTCTACCATCCCCCAAACATCCTCCAGCATTATCTACAACAAGAAAATACTGTGACAAACACCCCACGCTATTGTTTTGAGTATGCAACAATAAACTAAGGGCAATTCAGCTAAAATCGCACTCGAATTTGATAAAAAGTAGTGTCAGAACAGGGTGCTTGTTTAGCTGGAAACACAGTATCTCTTTCGACATGAATAGTGGTGATACTGACCCTTGAAAATTTGCAGTGAATTGCGGTCAATGAGTTGGAACAAATAGTGAATAGTTTGTGGTAGACGAACATAGGCTGTGAATGGTATTTTGTCTACTATTGCAGTAATTTAATCAGTGGCGAAAAAGTTAGTAATGACTACATCACTCTTAACAAACTGATATGTGGGCAGCTGCTGCTGCCGCTGCTTCAATAATACTTTTTTGAGCTTTTATAATCCCACAAATCAATATTAGCGCAAGTGATGTTTTCCCAAGCTCTTTAATTTTTTTTCAAATTAAAAAAAAGAATGAAGAGCATTTGTATTAGTTTCGTGCAAGTCTTAAGCTGACATTTAACCGAGTATGTTAATGGAAGAAAAGTGCTTACAAAATAGGGCACATGATCAATATACAGTTGTGTATATATACTTCATGAACTATGAGCAGTGTTTCCGATGGCTGCAGTAATTACTACATCCTCTTGAGTCATTCTTCTGTGTGTACTCGCATAATTGTGGTTGCAGGGGTCGATTCATAGCTCCTGGCCCAGCCACTACACTGGTCGATACTAGGTCCACTCCCTGCTCCATGAGCTTTTATCATACCTCTTCTTAAAGCTATGTATGGATCCTGCCTCGTGTGTGCGTGTATGGGTGAACAAATGTATTTTAGTTGCTGCTTAGTTTGCAATTGAATTACAGCCTCCAAACACTGGAGTAATAAGGCTTTAAGACTCATAATGATGTACGGAGCTGAACATTTTGATTTAGGTAACTTGCCTTTATAAAGCTGGAAACCATGTATGTACGGTGTTCTTACCCTAGTTGATGCACAAAACGACAAATATTTGAAAGTGATGCATATACACTCTAGGGCTGTAAACATGTTTATATTCCTAGTTAAAAGATGTCCAACAAACATCAATTCTATTATAAAAGTGAAAAGGTTGTAAGTAATATAAGACTACAAAATGATGATCATTTCTCCTTTTATATTAGAGAACCAAACTAAAGTTTGCAATATCCAGTACAATTTTCTTTACCAAAGAAAATTGTATAATTTTGTAAATTCTTAGATTAGGTAAATAATTTTAGTTTAATTTACGTGAAGTTTAGCAATGTTACATTGCCAGGTTTGTACAAAATTTAAACAAGAAATGTGAAAAAAATTGGATAATTTAACTGTTCTCTTTGGGTGGTAAGAATCTGGAGCGGAGAGCACTAACCTGCCAAGCCGTTCCATAGGTAGAGTCCTGGAACGCCTGTGATGGCTTCTACAGGGGTAGTGGCGGTGTTGATGACTGCGAAAAGTGCCCCCACCACAGCAAACACCATGCCCAGGCTCAGACACACGATGGTCCCCACCCACAGACCATAGTTCATGAACACACTGTTCACTGTGGACAGAGACATTGGTTACCTTCTCTGAGTGCTGCTACAGCCCTGGAAACTGTTTTCTTTACAAAGTTCAAATTCAATTTAATGGAATTCTTAGTAAATATGCCATGGATCAAAGGTAGGACAGGAAAGTATACACTCGTGCTATATGCATCAGACAAAATTTAGTCTCGTAAACAAAAAAAAGTACGCGCTGAAATGTACAAAACAAATGCAGACAGTTGTTACAAAAAAAGTAAATGTATAAAATATATTACACCAGATAAAAGGCAGAAAATAAATAACATATTTTGAAAGCATTCATACAAAATAAAAATATACAATAAGCATGGCAAAGACCAAAAAAAGTGGCAAGTGCTCAAGATGAGTGTTCTCTGGTGTACATAAGTGGGCATAGGTGCATGAAACTGACGCATGTACAAATGTAGGTGTGTAACCCATTCTTATTCTCAACCATCAGTGGCTGACTTTTTGCTCAGTGTTGTCAATTCCAAGCTTCCAGTTTTTCTCCAGCTGTGTCATTTTAAATTAGTTAATTTAGGTTAAATTAAGTCGGGTTAGGTCACACAAGCCTATAAAAACTTCAGTTTAATCATGAATAAGCAAACTAGAAAGAGTCGTGGAACATCTGGCAAGACGTGGTTAAAGAACTAGAAAACGTGAGAAAGTTAACGTTCATCACTCTTGGTGCGAGAATGATTGATGTTTATTACTCTTGGTGCGAGAATGGGATGAAGTTTGGCAGTCAGTGGAAATTGTAGTTTTTAATTATACAATCGACCCAGACAGCCAGCCAACATTAGAAAGGCCTCGGTGTAGGCAATAGTGAATATTCTCACGAGCACCTCAAAGAATGAAGGTTCAGTCGAACTTTTATTCAATTTGATGAGACTTCATTACCCGAAATGCATTGCATAATCAGTTTGTGCGCGTGGGTGTGTACTCTCCTGTCTGTGGTTGCAGGGGTCGAGTCATAACTCCTGGCCCCGCCTCTTCACTGATTGCTTCTGGGTCCTCTCTCTCCCTGCTCCATGAGCTTTATCAAACCTCATCTTAAAATTATGTATGGTTCCCGCCACCATTACGTCACTTTCTAGGCTATTCTACTGCCTGACAACTCTGACTGAAGAAATACTTCTTAACATCCCTTTGACTTATCCGAGTTTTCAACTTCCAATTGTGACCCTTTGTTTCTGTGTCCCATCTCTGGAACATCCTGTCTTTGTCCACCTCGTCTATTCCGCGAAGCATTTTGTATGTCGTTATCATGTCTCCTCTGACCCTACTGTCCTCCAGTGACTTCAGGCCAATTTCCCTTAACCTTTCTTCGTAGGACAATCCCCTTAGCTCTGGGACTAGTCTTGTTGCAAACCTTTGCACTTTTTCTAATTTCTTGACGTGCTTGACCAGGTGTGGATTCCAAACTAGTGCTGCATACTCCAGTGTGGGCCTGACGTATATGGTGTACAGAGTCTTGAACGATTTCTTACTGAGGTATCGGAACGCTATCCGTAGGTTTGCCAGGCGCCCGTATGCTGCAGCAGTTATCTGACTGATGTGCACTTCGGGAGATGTGCTCAGTATTATACTCGCCCCAAGATCTTTTTCCTTGAGTGAGGTTTGCAGTCTTTGGCCACTTAGACTATACTCTGTCTGCGGTCTTCTTTGCCATTCCCCGATCTTCATGACTTTGCATTTGGCAGGGTTAAATTCAAGGAACTAGTTGCTGGACCAGGCTTGTAGCCTGTCCAGGTCTCTTTGTAGTTCTGCCTGATCCTCTACCGATTTGATTCTCATTAACTTTACATCATCTGCAGACAAGGGCACTTCTGAGTCTATACCTTCCTTTTATGTCATTCACATATACCAAAAACAGCACAGGTCCTAGGACTGGCCCTTGTGGAACCCTGCCTGTCACAGGCGCCCACTCTGACACCTTGTCACGTACCATGACTCGTTGTTGCCTCCCTGTCAGATATTCCCTGATCCATTGCAGTGCCTTTCTTGTTGTGTACCTGATCCTCTAACTTTGCATTAACCTCTTGTGAGGAACTGTCGAAGGCCTTCTTGCAGTACAAGAAAATGCAGTCTATCCACCCCTCTCTCCTGTCTTCTGTCACCTTGTCATAAAACTCCAGTAGGTTTGTGACACAGGATTTTCCTTCCCTGAAACCGTGCTGGTTGTCCATTATACGCTTATTTCTTTCCAGGTGCTCCACCATTCTCCTGATGATCTTCTCCATGACTTTGCATACTATACACGTTAGTGACACAGGTCTGTAGTTTAATGCCTTGTGTCTCTCCTTTTTTTAAAATTTGGACTACATTTGTCATCTTCTATACCTCAGGTAATTGCCCAGTTTCAATGGATGTGCTGAAGTTCTTTGTTAGTGGCACACACATCTCTGCTCCCTCTCAAAGGACCCACGGAGAGATGTCTGGTCCCACTGCCTCTGGTGTATCAAGTTCACATAGCAGCTTCATCTCCTCCTCGGTTATGTGTACCTTATCCAGCACATGTTGGTGTACCTCCCTGTTCTGAATTCCTGAAGTCCTACCTGTTTCCATTGTAAATATTTAAATCTCGTGTTGAGCTCCTCACATACCTCTTGGTCGTTTCTTGTGAGCTCCCCATCATCCTTCTCAGTCTGATTACCTGGTCCTTGACTGTTTTCTTCCTGATTTTTTTGTGTGTGTGTGGGTGGGGGTGTGTGGGGTGTGGGGTGTGTGTGTGTGTGTGTGGGGTGTGTGGTGTGTGGTGTGTGTGTGTGTGTGTGTGTGTGTGGTGTGGTGTGTGTGTGTGCGTGCGCGTGGGTGCGGCCAACACTTATCCTCGGCGTTACCTGACCGGTGGGGTTTGTGGGTGTCATGGGCTGTGCGTGTGTGGCCCGATGGCCATGGTGCTTGGCCATCGTCCTCCTGAGTGCGTTAGTTCTTGATACTGGGCATTGACCTATGTCCCGTTGATTCGCTTGGATCATCGCTCCCCAACACTTAGCCTCACACTGAATGTGATGTTTGATTATCATCACCCGTGGGCCACCCCAACACTGGGAGCCCTTGCCCCCCAAAACACTATCCTCCCCCCGACCGACGCTTAAGTTCCTCATGTACTGGAATTGGATTTAGCCTTGGTCAATTGATAATTATAGAGAACTATAATTAACAATGTGTCATGTTAAGATTTCCCCCTTTTTCCGTGTCCCACCTAAAGATTCCCAGATATGTCCCTTAATAAATTTTTACAGTTACAGTAAACAGATATGTGACAGTGAATAAAATAAAACCAGATGCACTCTTGTAACCAGTTTAAAGTGGGCCTTGTCCTTGGGCTAGTTTTGTGTTATCCATATAATTGTGATACCGTCCATAAGATGGATATGGGTGCACAATAAACTAACAAGTATAGCAGTAAAATTTAAATCTAGGTGCAGGGTGCCTTTTCTCCGCGATGGTGCCACACCCACAGGCTGCTAGTCTTGCTAAGAACCAGAATCACCTTCGGCATAAAATAGTGGATATATCCCCTTTAGTCTAAATTTGCTGACACCTGCATCCCATGACACGACACGAACTGTGTGTATGAATTACGGAATGCGAGAAATACTATGAATAGTTTTAAAGCGAGTATGAAGTATTCAATGAGAACATTGATAACGGCAGTAGCACGTTGGTAATGTTAGAGTAATTTAATCTTATAAATATTTAAAGAGCTGATTAACCAAGCATTTCTAGCGAGTTGTAAAGAAAATCAATGAACTGTTTGTATTAACTCTTAACTCTCTAGTTAGTCATCCAGATTTGTAAAAAATATTACCTCAGTACCTTATTAGTAGACAAGATCTACTTCAGGCCAGGTTGCGAAGGTAGACAATCCTGGTAAAATAAATGTATCGCTGGGATACAAAGAGCCTCGTCTAGCATTGTCACTGTAGCCTGTATCGCTGGGAATACGAAATTTATATACGAAATTATGTATTGTGTATAGTTTGACTTTTGTTTGATCTTCATCTGGAAGAATCCCTAACTGATACTGATAAGCCTATTTAGGCGTGACAAGAGACTAGGCTGGGGTGGCCAGAACACTGTATATCGAAATGGCGAGTTGTAAAGTGAAATACCAGCCCCCACAGGAATATTTTTCGTCCAGCCCTTATTTAGTTGAAAAAAAAACTATGAAACACAAACGTCAAATATTGTAATGGGACAAAACTAGATAGTACTTATAATAACAAACATTAGAAACACACGTTAGAATTAATCGTATCTGGAACACGCACGCACGCGGGGTCAGGAGCTATAATTCGACCCCTGCAACCACATATAAGTGACTCTCAAGACCAATATTAAGAGCACACCAACCTCATTACAATGTTCCCACATTAAGCACACGAATCTACCAGTTACTGCAGGCACAGTTTAACTGATCAAGCATTTTACAAACCCTTAACTGCAGGGGTGGTACTGGTACTTTCTGTAGTGGTACTTTCTGTAGTGGTACTTTCTGTAGTGGTACTTTCTGTAACGGTACTCTCGATGGAATTCCAGTCAGTGGTATTCTCATCAATGAAAATCTCTCTAGCGACGCTCGCGTCATCATTTGTTATTGCCGCTACTCTAGCTTGTAGCATCTTCTCGTTCGAAAGATCACTTCGACTGCTCTCAACAACTTGGCTACTGACTTTCGTTTCACCTTTCAGCGCCATACTGAGGGGAAAGTACCATCTTCGGCCCATAAGATCTGTGTCTAGGAACTTCGGGAACAAGAACGACCAGGAGGAGTGTGAGCTTTCTCCAAAGGAAAGCTCAGAGAGCGGGGAAAGCCTCGGAGAAGGATGGGCCAGCACATTAACGCCATCGGGGCAATGCTTCGTAAGGCCCTTAACAGTGCCGTTCTTAACCAGCCACAGCTGCTCTTCGCGGTGTTCCTTTGTGTCAGCGCAGCTGTACATGCAGTCGCCGTCCGCGCACACCACTGCAATACAAAGATCAAGTTACCGGAGATAATGGTGGAAATACACGTTGCCTGCCGGGCCAAACTGGGCACGCATAAAGAGAAAGATGAAGGAATGAGAAGGGAAAGGAGGGAGATGGGGAAAAGGAAGGGGGGGGGGAATACTGTAAAATGGTTGGTGGTTGTCATGTCTGATCTTTATATTTTTTCCATCTACATAAAATTAAATAAAACAATCTGAAGGGTTAACTTAACCTTTACCAAACATAATGTAGATACATTAGCACTAATTTTAGTTAATTGGCAGTTTAATCCATCTTCAGTAATATACTAATTATCCAAAGTGATCTGTTATTAAATACTAAGCGACTCGAAGCTAAAACCTCTCGCCTCACCTTTGGCTCAAACCTGACTGCCTCCCGAGGTGCTGTATAATCCCTACAGGTTTAGCGCTTCCCATGAATCGAATATTTTTTTATTTAGCAATGGTGCTACAAAGTAAGTTGCCCTCGACTCACCTTTGAGAGTGTGATATCTGGAAGTAACGCCAGTAAAAGTCCTGCTGCCTTGAAAAAGACCGAAGTTGATGTTCCCATTGTTCGGAGAGACGTCGATCATCACACAAGCTGCCTCGAACCAGTTATTGGTTGCCATGGCCGCAGCCATGAGCGACGCTCCCAAACAACACACTAAAAATGAGGCGAACATGATGCCTTTCCTGCGAGTAGCTTTCCTGCGCTGCATGGCGGTGGTCCAGGGATGCTCTCCCCGCTACAGGTGCGGAAGTCTGCGTCACACGATTACAAACTAATGTGGCGTCTTAATGAAGAATCACAAATGCCACTGAAGTTCGCGGATAATCCAGGAAATGTTCGGCGGAGGTTGAAGATGTCCCGTAAACAAGACCAAATGTCGGAAAAGTGTTCGAGTGATCACTGTAATTCTCCTGTAGGGTAGGTAAGGTTTGTCAGGAAACTGGGAAAAAGAATTCTCCTACTCGTTAAACTGAGGTTAAAGACCCACGGCTTCAAAGAGCAAAAAAATATTTTTTCCTTCAGGGCAAAGGAAATAGTTGGTTGGTCAAAGTCATCATCATCAAACACTTCAGTTACCCAGGCGATTCCTTTTCGTAGCTGTAGCGTGCTGATAGCACTTGATGCTGGAACGGTCACTTTAAGCAGGTATCATTCGCCTAATGGGGAAAATACAATTTCACCTGTAAGTTTACGAAATAACATTTAGTAACTACAATATTTACACAGATGATAATGATAAATTAGACACATGTGCAACTCTTGGGTATCTTTATTGAGGAAACGTTTTCTCAATAAGATACCCAAGAGTTGCACACGTGTCTAATTTATCAACATGTCGGTTCTCTGAACCATTCATCTACAAACAGATGATAATACTGCCTCTACTCAATGTTACATAGACTTTTCGGAAGTCTAGTGAGACTGACTACATTTGTACGTTGTATCCCAATATACAATTACCGTAATATAGACGTGTCTGTACAGGGTAAAAATATCACAAGATAGATAATTCAGGAAACCAAATTGCTGGATGCTCAGATATTTGCTAATGTGACTCAGAGGTATGTGCAAAATAAACGTAATATAGAATAGATAAATTTAAGTATTACTGATATTTAGAAATATTAAACTGGTGTATTAATGGTGGAAGAATTACCGACAATATATTAAATAAAAGGACACAAGTGCAACTAATACATTTTATTGTGCCAAATATTTCGCTCTCCAGGAGCTTTGTCAAGCAGTCATTGTAATGGAAAACAAAATGTTCTTTGAAAGATTTAGGGAACATAGGTAAAATATAACGAGGGTTGTTTGGTGAGGCTGTAGAGCGGTGTTAATGATATATCTCTTCGGAGGCTTCTTTGTTTATTGTTAAGTCGTTGTGGGTTACACAGGCTTGTGTGTTTGTGCCCATGGCCCAGGCAGGGCCATGCCCACGAGAGAGAGCTGGGAGTACTTGTGTGTTGATGCCAGGCCGCTGTGTGAGTGAGAGCGAGGCAAGTCTGGGCATACTGAAGTGGCAAGGCCTATAGATGGCAGCACCTGAGTGGCGCGAAATATGAACTAAGCTGGCAGACAGCATGGGCTGTCTGTGCAGACAGTACAGGCTGTCTACATACGCTCGGCCACCTACCGCGCATCGTCCCGACGCGACAATACTGGTAGTAAAAGAAACTCGGTCTCTCTCTCGTAGGAACAGGGCACAGAACACAAAATAAAAACATATATATACATATGGACATGGAAAAAAAAACTTCCTACAGGGAGGGAAGAAAAAAACATGTGGGGTGTGCTAAACATCGTGGTCAAAGGCAATGAGCGTCGAAGGGCATCACTGCACGCCTTCCTGCGTCTGGACAGATACTACAACACGGGAGACATCGCTGCGGCTGAGCTGTGACGTAACAGGGTACGATCTCCTCTGGAACGGTGAAGCAGACATCGTAGGAGTCGCTGCAGGTTTTCACTCAACCTGGGGCACGACATGCTGGTGCCCTCAAGTGAGGCGTCGACAAAACTCGGCAACTGGGCAGGACTTCTGGCAAGCGACTCAGGAGACTTCTCGACTGGTACTGTCACTGCTGGGCTGTCACTGCCGGCGAGCGTGGAGCGAGTTGTGGAGCGAGTCGTGGCAGAGACGACTGGGCGAAACATCTGGGAGTCGTAACATCATACACCAGACTGCAGTGAGAGAGCTAGCAGTCAAAGTGACATCTTCTTTGTGCAGGCTGCTCACTGAAGCTTGTGACACGAGGCTGACACAGCGCCTGCCGACAGGGCTGGCTGCGGCTTGACGAGTATCATCTCTCGACAGTTGGAGTTATAGCAGAGGTTAGCCTAAGCGTCCCCAGACTTGTTTCTCTACATATAACTGCACTCTGAAGGTCTGGAGGTGAAGTGAAACAAATCTCGATGGGAATCGTAGCAGGTACGATTCTACAGAACATCACGAGCGACGAGCATAAAAGCTTTCTGTACAAGAGGGCTCGTACGCTCAGGGCTGAGTAATCAGCTGTCAAACGTATGGTCATGCGGGTGACTTAACACTGTGGTGTTACTCAGGTCTGGCTGGCTCAGACCTCACTGGACACACGGAAACTTTACAAACACACCGCTGTACATACTGTACAACATGGCTTAAACTAGTAAAAGATGCTTTTCTGCGCATAAAACTGACTAAGACATACTAAAATGTGAGAACACTGACTGAGAGGAATTAATTAACACACGACATATATCTTCTCTCAATCTTCTCGACAATACTGAAATAATTACTAGAACACTCGATGTGACATCATGTGATGTCAGGCGTGATGTCGCAAGGTGACGTCAGCAGCAGTGACGTCAACAGACATCTCGAGGTGACGTCAGGCAGACATCGTGAGGTGACGTCAGCAGACATCGTGACGTCATGAAGTCGGGCAGCATCGTGGGTAGCGTCGATGTGATGCGGGCAGCAAACCACAGCATGTGGCCTTGGGACATCTGGTAACTCACGTGGCTTTGTAGGTCTACGTGACATCGGCCACACCCAACGTGGTGTCGATTCACGTGGTGTCGTGATCTACGTGGCGTCGAGTGGCCTCGGGCAATCGGATACACAGCACTGGCAAAGAATTCATACGAAAAACAGCAGAAACACAGCAGAGGGAGTGGGCAGTGGTGAGTGTATGGTGTGGTGGCGAGGAGCGTGGGTGAGTGTATGGCAGGGCGAGCATCTGGCTATTCCTCCTCCTCCTCCACCCACAAACACGTGGAGAAGCTCACACTGGACGCAGAAATCACCACAAAACTCACCTCTGGCTTGCTGAAACAGCTGTGCTGAGCTGAACAACAACAGCAACATACAAGTGACGCTAACACGTGACTTGAGAAACAGCGTAGGGTCACTGGGACGCCATTACAATTCTCGGAGAATTTCGGCAAATTTCGGCTGGATCCTGCTTGTACCTGTGTCTGGATGCTCAAACGTGCAGACACGACATCAGGATAACTCGTTGAGAGACGGATGCTTCTTGTGTAGGATGATGAAGTGAAGATGACTTCATACCTCTTCCTCCTCTCTCCAGGCAAACACTGCTGCGAGCACCGCTTTCCACCATTTATAACGGCGCTTGTTTTGGTAACTGTAGAGCGGTGTTAATGATATATCTCTTCGGAGGCTTCTTTGTTTATTGTTAAGTTGTTGTGGGTTACACAGGCTTGTGTGTTTGTGCCCATGGCCCAGGCAGGGCCATGCCCACGAGAGAGAGCTGGGAGTACTTGTGTGTTGATGCCAGGCCGCTGTGTGAGTGAGAGCGAGGCAAGTCTGGGCATACTGAAGTGGCAAGGCCTATAGATGGCAGCACCTGAGTGGCGCGAAATATGAACTAAGCTGGCAGACAGCATGGGCTGTCTGTGCAGACAGTACAGGCTGTCTACAAAAAAGAGCAAAACACATTTATCTTAAGTTCTCTCAAATAGAGAGAAAAATGCCCGACAGATGTTTTCTCGATATAATGGCAATGAAAGTGAAGATAAACTTAGTACTTATTGGCAGAGTTATTTTTCAGCACAGGCATTGATGAAACTCTTCATCTGTGCTGGAGACTTTATCACTTAACTACAGAGACATTGTCACTAGTGGCAGACGAAACAGGTGAAGTAGAGAGTAGGTTGATGTAATCAGTACGTCACCCTTAAGCACCTTTGAGAGGATGAATTACACATGTGCAACACTTGGGTATCTTTACTGAGGAAACGTTTCGGCCAGGTAGGGGCCTCATCAGTCCTAAACACAGAAGAACAGTGAAGATTAAGAGTAGTTTGAGGTAATCAGTTCCTCAGCTTGGATCTTGATACAGGGCATTCTTCACTTTCATAACCTATAGGCATGACCGACTTCCACATGTGGATTTGTCCACATGTGGACATTTGATATCGCCTCACTTGCTTCACCTTACCTGTCTACATAAGCCACTTCGCACATATGCTGTATTATTTTCAAAACTGATTGACTAATTACATCGACTCCAGGCTGAGGGACTGATTACCTCAAACTCCTGATTTTCACCATTCTTTTTTGCTTAGAACTGATGAAGCCACTGTGTGGTGAAACGTTTCCACAGTACAGATACATGTCTAATTCATCAACTTGTCTATTCTCTGAACCATTTATCTACACTTCTGAGAGGAGTTTAGGACAACGTTTCGGCCCGTCCAGGACCTTTCTGAAGTTACAATTGGGGAGAGAAAAGCAGAGATGGTAAGAAGAAGGTATGAGGTAGAGGGCGAGGGAAGACGCAAGTGATCGTAGTTACTGAAGTAACAATAACAAGAAGAAGAAGAAGATGATGAAGATGAAGAAGATGATGAAGATGAAGATGAAGATGAAGAAGATGAAGATGAAGATGAAGATGAAGATGAAGATGAAGATGATGAAGATGATGAAGAAGATGATGAAGATGAAGATGAAGATGATGAAGATGAAGATGATGAAGATGAAGATGAAGAAGATGATGAAGAAGATGAAGATGAAGATGATGAAGATGATGAAGATGAAGATGAAGATGAAGATGATGATGAAGATGAAGATGATGAAGATGAAGATGATGAAGATGATGAAGATGAAGATGATGATGATGAAGATGAAGATGAAGAAGATGATGAAGATGATGATGATGAAGATGATGATGATGATGAAGATGATGAAGATGATGATGATGAAGATGATGAAGATGATGAAGATGAAGAAGATGAAGATGATGAAGATGAAGAAGATGAAGAAGATGATGAAGATGAAGATGAAGATGATGAAGATGAAGATGAAGATGAAGATGAAGATGAAGATGAAGATGAAGATGATGAAGATGAAGATGAAGATGAAGATGAAGATGATGATGAAGATGAAGATGATGAAGATGAAGATGAAGATGAACTAATAATAATATCAACCTTTTAGTGATGCGTGTAGTTATAATGTAATAAAGAATTTATACATAAATTACACATGTTCAACACTTGGGGATCTTTAATGAGGAAACGTTTCGCCACACAGTGCCTTCATCAGTCCATACAAAGGAGAATCGTGAAGAACAGGAGTAGTTTGAGGTAGTCAGTCCCTCAGCCTGGATTCCATATAATCAGTCCATCAATCTTGTAAAGAACAGCATATGTACCAAGAAGTGGCTTATATACT